CCCCAAAACCCCAAAACCCCTAAATCTAAATAATTCTAAAGTTAAAGTATTCTCATATTATATGAAATAGCTAAAATCGTTTAGGTCTTGTTAATATAGGTAGATTTATATCAATTATCGCTATCTTTGTTTCGCTTATCATTCTTCCTGTTCTTTGAATTCTCTCCTTCTCTGTCACGGCTCTTTGTCTTTCTGGCCTTGCTAGTTTTAGGAGTTCTACTATCAGAGGAGTCATCAGAAATAGATAGTTTGTTTATAGGCTTAACCAAATCATCATCATTTCTCTTGCTTTTAGACTTCTTATCGTCTTTTGATTTCTCCTCTCTTTTTTGACTTTGCTTCTTTCTAGATTTCTTTTCCTTCTCTTCACTACTGGAGTCGTCATCTTATCTCTTATTTGATCTTTTTCTCTGTTTTGACTTTTGTCTAGGCTTGCTTCTAGGACGATCTGAATCGCTCTCCTCATCCTCATCAAAATCATGAGCCCTTCTATTGCTCTTGCTTCTAGATTTTTATCTTGAGTCCTTCTTATCTCTATCGTAATCTCTATCTGCTTTTCTATCCCTGGACTTAGATTTCTGCTTCTTTCTCTTTGATTTTTCATCGGAATCATCATCTGATTCTGATTCTGATCGATCCTTTCTTCTTGGCCTTGGATTGTTAATAATGCCCATCTGCATGATTTTTTTCTTTTTGTCCTCATCCTTTTTAGGAGAAGTATTTTTCTTTTTATTTTTTACATCAAATGCAGAGATTGCATCATCATCTGAATTTAAAATTTTCTTGTTATTAATCTTTTGCTTGACGCTGTGCATCTTAGCCTAGAATATTCCAAAGTCAGAACTATCCTCATCAGCCTCTTTAAACACGACATCATTCTTTTAGAATGCTCTCACAGCTGCATCATCGCCTATTTCCTCAATCTTTGTTGCTGCCTTTTTAGGCTTTTTCTACAACTCACTGATCTTAGGAGAAGCCTTTTTATCTACATATGTATCCTCATTCATCTCGATAACTGATATCTCATTTAATCCTGAGTTTTCAGCTCCTGCTCCTATATAAGAATCCTCGTTCTATACCAACTTAGTCTTCTTTGACTTCTTTGAACTACCTTTATGTGACTTGTGTTCGGATTTATCTGCTTGATTATGATTCTTTTTCTCATCAGTGCTATTAGAAGAAGCCTTGTCTATCATATCCCCAGCATTTTTGTTGTCGGCTTTATTATCCTAAGAAGAAGGTGTCTTATTACTCTTAGTACCTGTGTGACTATCTAATTCACTAGAAGATTGCTTAATGATTTTGCCATTGCTCTTCTTGGTTGACTTCTTTCGTATGCCTGCAGTTCCGCTATCAGAATCAGTGATATGATCTGTGTCATTTGAAGACTTCTTTTTGATTTTAGAAGATTTCACACTTTTTTTCGCTTCATTCTTGTGTAGACTCATCTCACTTGTATCAACGTGCATTTCCTCATCGTCAACTTCCTTCTTCTTTTTCTTCTTGTCAATGACCTTTGACTTCGACTTCATATTTGTGGTAATAAACAGTGCAGAAGCATCTTGCCTATATGACTCTTCAAGATTTCTAGAACTATCATCATTAGCAAGTGCATATCTGCTAGAATCATCAAGATTCTTGTCACCAGTCTTATTTTTTTTAGTGCCTCTAGGCCTCTTGTCACCTTTCTTAGCATCAGACTTTTGCTTTGAATCTTAAACCTCTTCATCTTCTATATGTAGGGCATCTGGCTAAGCCTCAATACCACTGAAGTCAGCATCGTCTTTAACTCCTTGCTTGGCCTTCTTAAAGCAGAGGAATTTCTAAAGCCACTTGCTAATTCTCCCATGGACATTATTAAGAGTCAACTTGAACCATGAGTACCAAAATATCATGTTTATAAATAGGATCAATACGAATAAGAGCACTGACACTCCAAATGGTAGTTCATCACTAATAAAGAACAGACCTCCATAAAATGTAGCAAACTAACCAATTTATTAAAACAAAAAGAATAGTTACAGCTGCAATATTAGCCTTGAATTCAAGATCATTGATTTCAGGAGTGGCATATGGCTAGACTTTCTATAAGAATTCAATGTAGATAATCATTAGCATAAAACCAATAAGAGCCTATAGTTAAATTAAAGGATAATTTTGAGGAAGTTACTCTATATAGGGGCTTGAAAGTAGTAAAGAACACATTAATACTAATCAGCAAGACTTTTCTGAAATGAAGTAGAATCTCCCAATAGAAGGCACTCTGATTTAGTCCAACATATAGGAATCCATATCTTTGTAGATTTTATTGTTCGGTTAGTTAATGCCTTCTAGTGAAAAGTATAATCAAAGCAACTAAGGGCAATCCAATAACCCAGATGACTATGATGGGGATACCGAAGGAATTGGCATAATGAGAGTGCTGATCTTACCAGCATTGAATTGACATGTCGAGAGCAAGATAGGTATCTCCATCATTAAATATCTCAATGCAGTTGAAGATGGAGAAAGTAATGGAAGTAACTGGGGGCAATGAGATGAAGATTACTATAATCACTGAAGTAATCAAGTGAGTGAAAGCCTAAATATTTCTTCTTATTAGCTTGATTATACTCCAAAATATGAATGTTAGACTAATGGCAATTAGTGGGAACATGCAAGCAATAACCATCTTAACAAATATAGGATGTGTTTCAACTCCTGAATCTCTTACAAAGCAATCAATACTAAGAATAATTTCACTACTCTTAGCGATGAAGGAGATGGCTTCTAGGAATTTCTTCAAGTTGTCATCCCAAGAGAGATCATATGACTGAGCCAGAGTGAGGATCTAGAAGTAGTTAGTTAAGATACGCATGTACACTGTAGTCATCTTTTGTCTGCCAGCTGTTCTAATGTTGATGAAGATCAGAATGATAAAGTAAACAACAACTAGGACTGCCACTCCTACAAGTCTCCAAGCATTTGCTGTGTGAGAGATACATTTTGAGCAATCGTTTGCTGACTCTCTAGAGTACCAGTCATCTTGCACTTTGACGCAGGATTGGCAAAGATTGCCACCGTAGCCTGCCGCACATTACACCTCATATCCACTTAGGCATGATTCTGGGTTGTAGCAAGCATAAATATCAGTAGTATTGACATTTTACCTCCAGAATCCTGCATCTGTTATGATCTTGAATCCTTCTTAGCACACAGCATTTTCAGGGCACTCCTGGCATTATGTTTGGTTTGACAGTAGAGTATAGAACCCGTCAGAGCAGATAATGCATTTATTATCAGATGACTAGTATTCTCCTCTTGTGCACAGACGCAGGAATGCTTTGATGTATACTTTCTTTTGCACCATAGTGGGGAATGCTTTAGTAATTTTATTAGATACTATAGAGTCTGAGGTAATCTTGAGGATGATGTCCTAGCCAGGTGGACCAATTATAATCACATCATCAAAAGTAAAAGTGCCGTTAACTGCCTTCACAGACTTAGATTTCATTACTTGTACATCAGAGGAAATGGAGCTCATCACAGCTACACTGTTATTATCAGTGTTCATGCTCCTACCCATCTCGTCTAGCATAATAAGGGATATGTTTTAAGACATCAAACTTCCACTCACTAATGGGATATCTATTTTGAATACTACTCCATCTGTTATATTCATAGCTTAAGTTTCTTCAGTGGAGAGCATGTCCAGTCTTCTCTAAACCACAGCGTTGTTTTATGTGATAAGCATCTATACTGGATAAGAAGCCAAGTCATTTCCATATTAGGCTTTGTTATCAGTAAAAGTATTGTTATTAGTAATATTTGGCTTGAAATAGGTGAATTTCATTGCACCTCCATTGACTGAAGCTGTATTTTTCTAAAAGACTGAGTTCTAGATACTATAAGTGCATAAGTCATAGATTGCATCCTCGCATTCCAAGTAAAGAGCTCCTGCGTCCTACTCTAGAGCAGTATTGTTGTCAAAAATAGTATTGTTAACATTAATATCCACGTTTAGAGAGTAAATTACTCCTGCTGAGGATGTGGCTGTATTGTTTTTAAAGTAACTGTCTGTAATATTAAGCAGAGTCTTAGAAGTAGAGGTAGCATCGTTTTCAATATATACAACAGGCGATGAGAACTATGTATAGATTCCGGAGATATTTGCATTTTAAAGAGTTAGGTTGACTGCATTCCCATCAAACACAATAGAGTTAACCATAAATTCTCTCTCACCTTCCATGTATTCCATTCTTCCTTTGGTTACATTGATGTTCTGGAAAGTGTATGATTTACCTGTATCCATTTAGAAAAGAGTTTTATCGAAGTCATTGAATGAGGTATTGTTTGAAATTAAAGTGTTCTCTTGAAGATTGATAATTGGAGATATGTACTTGGAACTCAACTACTCAAATTGAGTGTCATAAAGCTGAATGTCTGTGGTGTCAATGGCAAATATGGATTGCACATTCTGGACGTTGTACATTATGTTCTTGAATAAAGAGCCTTTTTCAATAATTAAAGTTGATCCAGACACATATAGCAGGTTGGTATTGATGTTTGACATGGTACATCCTGATATTCTTAGGAAAGACTTGTTGACTATGGATATTCTATGAGATGAGAAGTCATAGCTATCTATCTTATCGTTAATTGAGATATTATCTATCTTGACATTAGTGAGCTCAATTGATGATGAGACTGCCTGCATCATCTTATCAAATGTTTTGATATTGCCTATTTCTGAATTTACTATACCGACAGTGGACTCAGTTGATGCTGAAAGGAATAGATCATTATTATAGATATTAGTATTAGTGAAGTTGATCTTGGCTTTGATAGCATACACAGCTGAATCTGCCTTCTCATCCACAGTTCTTTGTACTTTGTCACTTATAGCTTACATTGCTGTGAAGAAATTTTCTTCTAGATGCTGATACTTAGTTTTTTGGCTCAAGAAATCTCTCTTTGGAATGATTGAATTAACTTGATCGTTTTAAGTGACTTCTACATTGTCAACTTTGCTTTCAAATTGTGTATTGATTAAAAAGAGGAAGCAGGTGTTCAAAGCAGAGTTGTTATACACCTTAGTCTTGTTGTTTAGATTAATCTTTCCATCGTTGTTTACATAAGCTACTCCACCCGTCACTGCAAAGTTTCTGATTAAGGTACAATTTGATACCTCAACCTCTGATGAATATTGAATATAAAATACTCCTCCTTAATATGCGTAATTTCTCTGAATTGAACAGTTTCTGAAAAGAGCATAGACATTTTGGTAATCTGCAAAGACAATAGAGCCTCTACCTATAGAATAGTTCTCTACAAACTCAGAATTAGTAGTAAATAACTTAGAATTAGTCGTAAGTTGTATAAGAGCATCAGCTTTACCATAGTTGTTCCTGAAAGTTGTCATATCCAAGTAAAACATCAATGGATTCTCTCCATCTGAGCTAGCTGGCTCAAGTGAGGCAAATTGACCAGAGTTATTCAACATTTAGGAGTTCTTGATAAGCATTTACTAACAGTTCATCTTTAATGAATAGATAGTTCCCAATTCCAATTAGTTGTTTATAATGTTAACTTAATCAAGAGTCACATTGAAGTACTTGTAGTTAATCTCGCCATATTCGATTAAAGAATCTTTACTTGAGAGCGTATTACTATCAAGGGTGCAGTTAGAAATCTTGAAATTAAAGGTAGCATTATTTTACTATGAAACTGATACCTATGATACTGATAGGAATGAGCTTTATGACTATGAAAAGGTAATATTTCTTAGTTCATGCATACTTCCAGCTAAACTTGATAATGTAAGAGTGGGTAAAGAAATAGCGAATCTTGATTTATCTGAAGATTTTTAGAACAAGGTGAAACTTAGATTCTCAATTAGAGCTTTGTTAATTTAGTTGAAGACTAGGAAGTCTTAATTGAAAAGCTTGTTATTGGTTTGAGCAGCATTCCTGAACTCAAGACTAGCTGCATATTCTATCTCAATAGCCTTGCCATACATAAAAGTAGAGTTGGTCACTCTGAAATTTTCAATCTTAGCCAGGTTATTAGCAGTAGAAATTCTCAGTATGGCTGAGGTTTCTGTGATTGAGCCAGTATTTGAATTGTTATTAACCTTGAAATCTCTAACATTAATGCTATTTGCTGCTCCTATAGTGTAGAGGTCGTCTAGAGTATTGCCTTCTAGAGTTTCATTATAGATATCAATATTAGAAGCCGAGGAGAAGAAAAAGAAGACCTTCTGATCCTTCACTACTGTTACATTCTAGTAGTAATTATTTGCCACTGTCACCTGACTGGGATTCAGGATTTGCATCGATATAAATTCGGTATTTACTATAATTAGATGATCAACTAAATTTAGGCTTACTTTGACTGTTTATATATCTATTATTCTACATAGAAAAGATCTTGGTGCCATTAAAGGCATTCATGTAGTTGACTGCAAAAATAATGTTACTCTGATAAAGATTAATAAAAGTGTTTCCATCCATAAAAATATTTTAAGTTCTATGCTAAGGGTCACATAAAGACTAGGGATGAACATCCAGAAAAGGTCTAGTTTCCATATCAAGATAAGTTATCCCGTCGAATGTATTATTTCTCAAAATCATATCATCCATTGAAGCAAAGAATATAAAGTTGTACAAAGCTTGCTAATGCTTTTCAATAAACAATGAATCTTAAATTATAAGAAAAGCTCTGGCATATTCGGCATTATTCGCATAACAATCCCATCTAAAGTCATTCCAAATTCCATATTCATAATTTGTAACATTGAATACTGCATTCTTTACCATCAAGGACATGGGGAAGTAGCACTCAAATACAGAACCATCTATGTCGAGATAAGTATTATCAAATGTGACGGTCTGATTGACAGCATCAAAAGTAAAAACTAGTGGATTAGACCAGGCATCACCAAACATTATTGACTAAAAGTCAATGTCCTTAATGTACATGCTTCCTCTAAAAACATTAAACTTAAGGAAGAACTTAGTTGCCTCAGATATGTCCATATCTCCTCTATTAACTCTGGTATTGAAATCATAAGTGCTCTCAGCCAGAGATACCATTGTAGAATCTGGCCATAAGTATTCATGATCAGTGATATAGACATAAGGTTTTGCTAGTTCGGGGTCTCCATATGTAGTTAAGTTATACATTTTTATGTTGACTATAATTATGGGCATGATACCATAGTAGTGCTTCATTGATGTTCCTCTTTTGTGGAATACCGTAAAATCAGTATCCCTTTCATACATGAAATTGAAGATTTCTTTAGCTGGAGAATCCATATTTTTGAAGGGGTAATCGTAAGTACCGAATTCAAAGATCAGAGTGGAATTAGGATCTATGAAGTACTCATACTTATCCAAGGTATTTTGAGTGAATGGCCTGCAATATCTGACAGTTTCAGTTCTTCCTTATACTTTTGTAGATGCAATAGATTTTGACATAGCTGGGCATGATTCTACACATTGGTATGTCAATAAATCTAGGAAATAGCCCTCTTTGCATAGTCCACAATGCTAATTTGTAGTGCCATTCTTTGTGCAAATTTGACAATTAGAATCTGAGCAAGTTTAGCAGGTGTTCTTATCTTCAGCTAAACCACTAGCACATTTGAATTCACAAGTCCCATCAGTATTTAAAGTTTAGAAAGGATTCTGACAGGCTGCATAGGTCAAGCACTTATACTCATTGTTGCAAGTAGCACATTTACTCAAGCAACCTATTGTTAAATTGTTAAACGTATAAGATTTACTTCTGCATCTTGGTGTATCGATATCATAATAGTATTGTTGGGCTGGGCATTCACATTTATTAGTATCACTTTTAATTGTCATATCGATAGCTAGGCAACTTGTGCAAGTATCTTCATCTGAACATGAAGCACAGCCTTTAGGACATTCTATATTGATTTTAAGTGGAAAGTAGAAAATTTACAATTGCAAGTTTAGGTTATTGTATCAAAATACTAAGCAGAAGCACAGGTTGTAACAGCAGAAGTCGATATACAGTTAGTATTTTCAAGATCAATGACTGTAGTATCAACCTTTGTGAAGGAGTAGAGAGCAAAATTGACGTAAGTATTGCTAGTAAATGCACAATTTTAGACTTTAAATTTATATTTAGTAGAACTAGGTGTTGTCTATTGATAAGAATCTACCTCAAATAGTTTTGCCTGTGAGTTTTTAAAGACAATATTTGATATCTGATAGGAGCTGCTTCCATCTATCACATTAAGTGTTTATATTTAAAGCAAGTACATTACATCTATAAAATAAATCAATGATAATGCTCTAACATACCTGTAATACCTGTTTTTAATTGATCTACACTTGTTCCATTCATGTAAAGCACTGTTGGTAAATTTACAGAGATCAAATCAGAGTTTTAAAGAGTGATATTTGAAATAGTAGTTCCATTTAGATAGACTTCATTAGAATAGACAACGTAGAGTAATGGCGAGTGATTAAAAACAGAATTTGATGCTTTTAAATTGTAAAATTATGTCTTGTCTAATGTATTAGTGATACTAAAAAGTCCAGCAGTTAAAAGAGTCGGACCATTGTTAGTTATATTGGTCATAGTAGTTGATGAGTTAAACCATACATTTGAAGCTGCATCAATAGCCATAAATTGCTGCATAAGTGAGTGCTGAATGGTATTTCCACTAAAAAGGACATGAGACTTCATTAGATTGAAGTCTAAAATCTTGCTAACTGAAGTGACGTTAAGCTGCTCAAAAACATTATCAAGAATTTTAATGTTTTATTCTGACTCTGAAGTGATACTTAAAGCCATGAAATCATGAGTCACTATAAATTCATCAGAAAATGATTAAGTGAAATTTACAGTTCAAATTTTTAAAGTTAGAAAGTTGCATAGTGAATAAAAGCTGATTCTGAACAGGCTTTAGATTGTTATAGTTGAAGTTCCATTTCATATTCGTATTCATAAATATGCATTCACTAAACATCAAATTTTAGGCCTTTTCTAAGCTATTCGAGCATTAGTAGTCTTCAAAGATGACTCTGTGGCCAAGCACCATGTTTTTGAATTGAGCCTTGCTAAAAGTAATATCATACTGAGATTTGATATTTAATAAGTTTCTTGTCAAGCTAGCAGCATTAGTCACAGTAGATCCATCTTAAAAGACAGAGTTTATAAATTAAATGTTTCCTTGACCATCTAAGGTTTGGCAACTAGTATCAGCGATACTTGAGTAATCAACTTTTAAGAATGTATTAGTTGCAGCTACATTAAATGTGCAGCTAGTAAAGGTGACTTTAATGCTATGGTCTAGAAATAAGAAATTTCCATCTATGTTGAATACACAGTTTGTGAATTCCAATTCTAAACAGTATGTGATAAATGGTGAAATTACTTACAAAGATAGGGTTAGAAAGTAGGTGGGTCAATTGTCATCATAAATTCATTTGCGCCAAGTTAACCACTTGTAGTAACAAATAAAGTGTTAGAATAACTAAGATTTTATCCAGAAATTGTTATCTTTGCCGATTATGTCTAAAGATTACGCATTTATTGGATTTCTAGGTGATTTTCTTAAATATTTTGTTCTGTACCAATAATTTTAAAATTTCAGATAGTTACCTTCACAAGTCTTAGTTATAGTATTAAAATTCAAATTCTTTGGGCAATGGCAATATCCAGATTACATTTCAATATTCATTAAGCCATCATAACATCTCTGACAATTATCTTAGTTTAAACAGCTTTGACATCCGATCTAGCATTCTAATTCATAAAATCACGAATTCATCTAACTTACCTCAACATTAATTAGAAGATTTATCCAAAAACTTCCCTTGACCACAATCATTCTGTGATGAGAAGACTAGTGTTGAAATTAAAGCAAATATCCTAAAATATTATACAATAATGTCATTACGTTAAGAGGATATTTAAGCTCTTCATTACTTGTATTATTATATTGAAATTATATTAATTATCATATTGGAAATCTCTATTTGAATTTTTGTTTCACTATATCCTTTAACTTTATTAAAATACGGGGTTTTGGGGTTTTGGGGTTTTGGGGTTTTGGGGTTTTGGGG